AGAGAGAGAGAGAGAGAGAGAGAGAGAGAGAGAGAGAGAGAGAGAGAGAGAGAGAGAGAGAAGGAGAGAGAGAGAGAGATAGGGAGAGAAAGAGAGAAATAGGAAGAGAGAGAGAAATATGCAAAACTTCCAGTATTAGTGTCAAATATTCGCAAAAAAGCACCATCCACATAATTTCCAAACACTTTTCATCGTTTCTCAACTCATTTCTATCACAAATTCAGTCAGTAGGCTTATCTTTATTACATACAAATATCATTCATTTGCTACAATATTTAATATTTTTGCTAAGCGAACAATATGATTACATCTGTGATCATAGAGTTACACCACAAACACTCTTAAGATGTATGGAAAAATGGAACAAAAATAAATACACCAAGTGAAGCTTTGCCGCCTTGAGAGACTTGGAGGCAATATGTTGAAAACTGCTTGTTGTTGAACGTTGTTCATTAAATGCAAATAAATTTTTTAAAAAGATTTGAAATCGTTCATGTGGACATATCACTTCTTTCGACTATTTAATTTCGTTTTTGTGTTATTTTTTGATACTCAATAAAGTGAAATAAAAACTAAAGGATATGAATTACGAGTATGTACTTTTCTAGAGACTTTTTTCGTTTCAATCCCCTTGAAAAGTGGCAACTGGGAATTTGAATTTTATCCATCGTAGTGAGCAGAATATTAATGAAATCTTCCTATGACTCACGCAAATATCAGTCAACTAGTACTCCCGGCCATGTAAAAATATATATATTTGGGATCGTTTCAATATGACTCACGCGAATAGCGTTCAACCGGCATTCCATAATGTAAACAAATCTCGCTAGGAATACGGAACTAAAATGAACAATACATTAATATGAGATGGTTCAATATTATACGATTCCAACAGACCTCGTTTTTATTTGGATGTAATGGGCAATAGAACAAACGTTCGAAGCCAATACTAATTAGAGATTTGACTTACTTCATTTATCGATGATACCTGACTCCTGTTTGACTGTATATCTCAAGTACTTTCCTAATTACCCTTTGCGATTATTTCCATACAAACCTTCATAGATAAGCTGAAT